GTGCCCTCACCTGGATACAGAATCTGGAGAACGTATGAGACTGTGCGCTCCGGGAGGGCGTTATAGCGTGACAAAAAAAAAAACGAAAAAAAAAAAAAAAAAAAAAAAAAAAAAAAAAAAAAAAAAAAACAGAAGAACAGAACGTGTGAGACTGCAGCCTTTCCAAACTCTCAGCCGCAATATACCTGCCAACGGACTGATGTTTTTTTGTTTTTTTTTTCCTGAGAAAAGAGAAACTTGATTACTCATGAAAAAAAGAGTTTTGAGGCCCGGTCCTCACATTATCCCGGAAGATGGACTGATGTTTTCACTCATGCCAAACTAAAAGTGCGACTCCAGGGCGCGTACCTTCAAGTCCCAGGTGCTGTTTGGAATGAGCAAAAACATCACTCCGTCGGCAGGTATGTCATGCCGCGGCTGCATTTGAACAGGCAAAAAAAACACGGGGCCATAAAGCCCTCCCGGAGATGAGGAAAGGATATGGAGGAATTGAGGGTAGAAGAATGCAGGTTAGCCACCTGTCCTTTTTTTTTTCTTTTTTTTTTTTTCCACCTGTCCCAACTCAGTTGCCACACCCATGAACTGTTGAAATCCAGACCTCTGTTCGAATCAGAGAATCTGATGGATACGGATGAACGAGCTCAGCAAGAGAAATAATAATAATAATAATAATAATAATAATAATAATAATAATAATAATAATAATAATAATAATAATAAATAAATAAAAATGAATCAATATCGTGACTTCTGGCCAAGGTGGGCTTCACTCACACAACGGCGATTTGGGCAGCACAGCATTTGGGCAGTGAGACCAACCGGTAGCCTACGTTCCGAGAAAACACACCCTGGAAAGTCCTACCCTCTGGGCCCAAGCACAACGCATCCTCATTTTGGACGCACCCGACCGGAACCTGGCTTGTATGCATTCATAGTCAGGGTGCCCTGTGTTCGGGGGAGAAACGGTAGTGTGAGCATGTGAGTGAGTATACTACTGCCCTATATAACCACAGAGGTTCAAAACCGCCTACCCGTCTTCACCCCAGTACACTGTACGGACATTATCATTATCGCCGTATTTTTAGGGCCAGATACCACTAGCCCCTATTATTCATTTCTGACCGTTGATCTTCGTAATCGACTGTCAAAAATGAACTATAGGGGCTAGTGGGATCTGGCCCTAGACTGTAAGATGGACCAAATACATCTAGGCGCTCGTTCCACACTCCTCGGGGCATCCTCGGGCCCCGAGGACGATTCCTTGGAGTTGCCCGAGGAAATTCCCGCCTTCGTTCCACTCATCCTCGGAAATGTTCCCCGAGGACGATTCCTCGGGTGCTCCCGCGGCCAGTTAGATATTTCGATACGCGGACGCGGGGGGGGGGGGGG